CTAGCGCCCGCGGATATCTTAAATTTCCAAGTAGGGAAAAATCTTGGCGGGCGAACGTTAGAGTGCTCCAAGTGTCAGAATTTGATGCTGGTCAGCACTGAGGTTTGCGCAAGGACACAATGATGTTGATGTAGCATTAAATTCAGAGGTCGGTTGTGTATTCGAGGCGATGAAGCCTTATCTGTAACTGAAGATGTTGGATGTGCGCTCGGACCCAGCAGTGGAGTCCACCCCAGTCGTCAACAACAGGAATGAGGCTGTTAATTCCGTTGTTCTAGCCACCAACATCCTCTCAACCAAAGCTTCACCCGGTTGCATTTATGGGGAGAATCTGTCCCTCCTCCTTCTCTTCTTTCTCTTTAACTTCACTTTAATAAGACATGTGACCACAATTTTAGCGTTACAGTCGCCCCACCTGGCAAACTGTTATGCATTGTTTTAGATTGATCTCCCATGAGTCGGATTCTGCGACCTTCACCTGCTTGACCCTGGCCGTCAGTTACTTATTTAACCGCCCGAGCAAGTCGTACGTTTAGTGTTCGGTTCATTTTCAGAGCGTTTTACTTATCCCTTGAGGCGATTTGAGGGAGTTCTCGGCGTCCTGGTTTCAGTAAGCCTTCGAGTCTCGCATCCTGTCCACAATTCGCGCCCGGAGGACCTTGTAAAGTTGTAGGGGTCTAAGAGCACTACAATTATCAAGCCCAGTTCCGTACTGGAAGAGAGTGGGTAAGACCAGCAAGAGTTGTTTATTGTATAGAGAAACTCAGTGGTGGTCTGAAACCCCGACATGTGGCAAGCCCGGGCCTTGCGCGCGCGTCTGTCTGCTAGCGTGGTGTCGGCGTGAATGAGGAAACGTCGTACGAAAGTGAATCACTGACCGCTTGATCAACTGCTTGGCCAACAGCAGTCTACGGCGGTTGTTGTTGACTGTCCCAGAGGCAGATAGAGGAGTGCAATCATGTGATGGCTCGTGGGCTTGGCGCCGGTGGCGGTGGACTGCGCTACAAAGGTTCTGGGAGGACGAGAGTAAATTTTACTTTTGAGTCTATTTGTCACTTGGTTGACAAAACATGTTCTCTTGGCTTACAACAACCAAGGGTCCTACGATTGTGTTAAATCCCTTAAGGGCGCAAATACCACTATCGTTGTCTCATCTCATGAAAGAACTCGTAGCTCCTCGGAATTAGTGAAAAACTCAGGTAATCTTCAATTGTGATTAATAAGAAAACATGTCGGCAGTACATTATTTGGCAGAATGACAGTACTGACAAAGAATGGAAGGGTATTTCTGGAAACGTGCGAGCTTTCCAATAGGTTTGAGGAATATACAGTAAACAGAATGTGTCGCAGAGATGACACCATTATGTGGATGCCCGAACATGCATGCCGAAGCCCAGCCTTGTCCGGTCTCCAAGTATTTAAACTCAATTGAAGGGATCTTCGGCACGGAAAATCGAGTTATCAAACGAACATTTCTAAATAAACGAAATAAAAACACACACTATTAAAGAAAGTACCCTGCCGGTTTTTATAGGACAAAGTGTCTAGTTCTACCGGATCATAATTCGAAACCAATGAGGATAAAGGCCTCACTTCTGCGGTCAGAAATTACAATTTCTGACTACTTGGTCGTCATCAGTCAGTAATCCTGCACCATTTTTGCTAATTTCTCATATGGATCTATTAAAGTTGCTTTTCCAAGCCCGTAGCCCGTGTGTAAATGTTTGACTTTTCAGCCTTATCAACTCGAAGTGCCCTCGAAACTACTCTCACCACCGCTTTATCGAAATGAATTTGCTGTCAAATAAGTTTCAAACGGCCATTTTGAGGCTTTTCAGCGTTGTTGATTTATGTCAACCAACGTCCGGCCGCCCTGGTAATGCTACTCGGCCGTTGTTGATCGCCGAAATAAGACCCTACCTGCACACAGGTCATGTCGGTTGGTAATGTAGCCACAGGTCAGTATGTTCTGTGATCACGCACCTGCGGACACAATCGGTCATGCAGCTTAAACTCACTGATCAACCTCCTGTCATTGACCGGTGGTAGGGTTGAATTACGTTTTTACAGAATGGATTTTGCATAGAACATAAAACTGACAAGCCTCCA